TTCCAAGTTGGAGGAGAAAGTCCTGCAAGATGCAAAAACGCCGTCGCCCACCAAACTCGATCCTTGGCCCCATGCCTATGAAGCGCCACGCTTACCTCCACTCCAAGCCGCCACTGCTGGGCTCCCGGCGACTTTGTGCTTTCTCCTGTTGAGCACTCTCCGAGACCACCTCCATAAATTCGTTCAGAGAGTCGTTTGGCAGATTTTGAATGCAGATTTGAAATCAGCATCAAAAAATACGCCTAGCAGTATAGGTCCCATTTCAAATGGCCACTTCGACTTGGGATCCTTCCCTTGTCAGTTCGGAAAAGTTGTGCAACTTATCGAATAATTTCTTTAATTTTTGTGAAGGTGGACGATAGGAAGAGAATGATTAACAGTTGAAATTCATTCCTCAACTCAAGCAACAGCAACATAACTAAGATCATGACCAAATTGGAAATGTGCTCAGCATAGAGTGGATTAAACGGTGCCAAGTAATCGAATGTTGCGTATGGTGATTGAGACATCATGCATGCTTAGTCACACTTGAAGAACAGGGTCGAACCTTTTAATATGGAACCTATCTTTGTGTGTGACGGCATGGATTGAGCATTAATTACTTTAGATGATGAAAGCCCAAAGTCATGACGTAAAGTTGAAAGCCCAAAGTCATGACGTAAAGTTGTCAAACTGTGCAATTCGACGTAGACGTCAAACTGAAGTGCGTTTCTTTTGGCAGGTAACAAACATGCTTTCTCTTTGTAGCTGTCCTTTTGTGACCAGTTGCATGCTGTTGTATTGAAACTGATCCATTATTATGATTCTGCTTGATAACGTCAAAGGTGACGTTTCTCCTATTGGACCCCTTGAATACGTCCATTTGACTACAGCCGAAAATCGTAAATTTCCACCTGTAACGTGGCAAATTCTTTATTTGTCCCTATGCTTGGTCTTTGTTAGATTCTGTGTTACATATCATGAAAACTGGTTTTCTCTCCAAGGATAGGTGTTTACTACTGATTCCAACTCCAATCCTAATTTCATTATTGTAGACGCTGTGTCAAAATGCCACCTTCTTCTACGAGCTCTCAAATTTCTACTATTTTTGTACTCTGTTCGAAAATCCATGGCTAGTATTCCTAACGAGCACATTTGCATGGGAGATATGTCATGCCTTGGATGGGTGAGTGATTTTGTTCTCTTGCATGTAAGAAAATGAAAAAAAAAGTCAAACACAACACCATTCCTCCTCATTCCCCATGCTGAGAATGAACAATAGTATGTGCGAGGTCTAAGCATTCAGGGAGTTCAGTAGTTCGTTGGCATCTCTTCTGTTTTTGAGGGTTTAGCTACAATTACATGCTACATGCCATGGGCTTGTTTGCCTGGATGCCCTCCCTACTCGTTAAAGGTCCCGTTGAAGGTCAAATTAAATGAGGAATCGCGGCAGCAAAAAGAATAACACAGGAAAAAAGAATGGGAGAAAAACATTGCCTCATTACTCGGCGATCAGCTGATTGCGTATGGGTCCTAGAACGAATAATTTTAATCTGCATCGCCTCAACACTCGTCTGGCATGACATCGATCGAGGGGCGGGAAAGCTGCGCGAGCCGGGAACAAGCCTTCCATTATGCCCTGACCGTCGAGTTTTTGGACGCGAGAGGGTCCTTTGTATTACCCTTGGAAGCCACTGATTATTCCTAAGGGGAAAACTCAGTAACCGTTTTCATCGTAAACCGTGCCTTGATAGATGCATTTCATTTCAATCGTAGAACCGTGGTTGGATCTGTCCAATTAGTGTCCTGATTCGCTCATCAGATGTCGTCAGGAAGGATAAGAATGATAACCAGATCAGTTACTATTAGCCATCAGAGAAACCGAGCCTTCGATATTTGTTAGGCCGTATAGCCTATTTTCTCTTTAACTGAATCCGTGTCTAAATTCCTTCACTGCAACAACAAAACACTACGGCACAAATAACTTTTTATACGAAGGACGAAGCAGATAAAAATAATCTTGCTGTTCAAAGTGTCGAAGGTGTCAGTGAAAGCTCCCTCAACGCGTCTCGCGCTAAAAGAAACTTTCAAAATAAGGGCATATGAAAGTGGATATGAGCCAAAACTCGGCGGCATGTCACACTCCCTATTTACATGTTCAAAGTTCTTCCTTTCACCCTGAGCAGGCCCAGGAGATGTCACAAAGGCGGCTTACCGCTTGAGTTATTCGGTTCACACCCACAGGTTTGGCGACTATGGAAAATACTTGTCTTACTTGATGTTTCCTCGGCTCTCCCTTTCTGGACGTGATCGATGGGGTCTGCGATATCCTCTATCCTTTTTCTTGACCTCCAATAGCGACAAGTACAATAACTACGAAGACATGGCATTAAAGCGTGAAGCAACTACATGAAGTAACTCAAGTTCAAGAATCTTTCAAAGGTCGATTGCTGGAATCGTAGAAATGGCAACTTGATTAGTCATCATCAGTGTTTCCACTAAGTAACAATCATCAAGAATGTCGTATTTCCAGGTTTGTCGTTGTGCTGTTCCACTTTCGATTTTCGAAATTCCGCAAAACCCACGTGAACGGTGTGGCAACAACGGTGAGTGAAAGCCTAAGTGCTGAATGTTATAATGGATATAGGTAATGGTAATCTCCCTGAACAACAAATGCGTTGTTCTCGGCACGACCGTAGCACCTCCAGGAAGGGAAGAGGGCTTTGCGGAGGTCATATCCCACTAAAATCTGAATAGCATTCGAACTCTCTGCAGCACCGTAGAGCTTCATGGCTACGTTTATGACCAACACGAGAGATTGGGATGTCAATCCTTAAGCCCCAAAAAAAAANAAAAAAAAAGGTATCACAAATCACCGAACTGCCGAATTTGGCAGCAGGGGTAGGGAGCATTCCTGTAGGATTGTAAGTATGCATACGTAAAAGCAATCACTGTGTTACTTACATGCTTTCCTTACAGATGGTTGTGGGTGGTAAATTAGCATCACACGCTGGAGATCATCTTGGGCACAGTGGTGCCCACTCCAATTCCATGATCGGACAAAGCCGCGCTGGAAAAGGGGCTAGCAGAACGGCATGAACAAAACTGAACGAGAGGGCAATGCAAAAAGAGTGAGTCTGGTGTTAGTTTTCTCAAACGATGAACTGCTCCAGTTACTGTAGAAGAATTTGAAACTCACTTTCATCTAGAACAAAACCATACTCGCCGAGTAAATTATGTCGAGTCAATATAGCCATTGACATGTGGTTTACTGTAACGGCAGAACACTAAGAAATTTAGGAGTATTGCAGAGTCTGATTCGTGCTGTACAATGGAAGCTCACGGATGGCAGGGCCTGATAGTCACTCCGATCTCATCAATAAGCAGGGCCGCTGCGGTACTCCAAACCCTGCACGTTGCTTATGATTTACCAGTCAAATTCCCCTGNCTGGGATTTTCTTCCTGTTGTGAAATAGTTGCAGTGCCTAAGTGATTTATGACATAATTTCTTTCACTTTGGTTAATCCAACATTTCCTATGAGAAGTGAATAAATGCTTCTTTATGAAGATTGTTTCCAACTTTTCCATTTTTTTTTCTATTCCTATTGTACGATAGAAATAATTTCTGAGATCTCTCCCCGAGGTGGACCTCTGACCGCTTAAGATAGCACAAGGAACGCTGTCCGGGTGAACGGGCTATGCATATAGGGCGTAATAAACGACCCAAAATCGGCTTTGCCGACGCAAACACACAAAAGCGAACGAGTTTCGAGCGTTGCAGGTGCTGAAGAGGTCGCACCATTCGCACCGGGACGCACACGTCATATGGAGGCAGCTTACTGTAGCCAGTTGTACGCATTGGCTGACGATGTTAGACGGATTTTTTCGTGCACCTTTTGTCGTGGTATTCTCCTTCAACTAGGTTTTACCACATTATTGGAGCCTCATATTTCTTTAAATTGGACGATTTCGCATTTTGCAATATTTTGGTTTACCACTCCAACTTTTCGTCCAAAACTAGATACGTCAAAATTATCGTGACCTGCGCTGTTAACGGAAACGACTAGCGTCATGACCAATCTTTTACCGTATAGCTAGCTTCGTCATTTGATTGATGCAATTATTTTCAAGCGACATGGGTCGTTCATTCATCATTCTTCTTTGTTGTAGTAATATATTTTGAATAATTGAAGTGAAAGTTGTATCAGCTGCCATNCTTCCTGTTGTGAAATAGTTGCAGTGCCTAAGTGATTTATGACATAATTCCTTTCACTTTGGTTAATCCAACATTTCCTATGAGAAGTGAATAAATGCTTCTTTATGAAGATTGTTTCCAACTTTTCCATTTTTTTTTCTATTCCTATTGTACGATAGAAATAATTTCTGAGATCTCTCCCCGAGGTGG